TTTTAAATCCACAATGAAAAAAAAAGCTACGCACACAACTGAGTCAGGTCACATTCAAACAGTATGACTTGGAAGGGGCAGTTAACTGAAAACCTAGGACCCTAGCCCAGCTCCTAGGATGTAACGTTCTAGAATATGTTACCTTTCTTAATAAAGGAAAGTTAATTATACAATTATACTGCAACTTCACTGAATTTGTGAGTTTATATGAAAACACGTGAAATGTTGGGGTGGGTGCAGGTCTGGGGGTCCCTTGCTCTACAGCATGACTTAATGATTCCTTTGAAAAAGGTGATCACAGGATGTGGGGAGAGAAATTAAAAAAAGAAAAAGTGACCTCAGTGAAGAATACATTCAGAATGAAATGGCACATTTCAAATCACAGTGTATGCTCTAAATCATCCCAGGCAGTCCCAGCAACATTGAGCCAGATTGTCCAAAGTAGTGAATTTAGTCAACAAATTTTGTCAAAGCCTGTGCGGTTACAAATTTAGTGGTCAGATGCAGGGACAGGGACTGGGGAAGACTAGAATATGTACAAAATTTGTATTTTTGTTGCAAAATGTGACCAAGAGAGTGCTAGAATGGAAGTGGACCTCAAACATGGTAAAGAGAATTATTTTCCTTGTTCAGAGGCAAATGGGAAAACAAGAAGAGATAGGACTATTCACCTGTATGTTTATTTCCAGAAAGAGATCCAAAGAAGAACCTAGTTTGGGTCCAATCAGAATGAGACAAGCTACTCCAGCAAAGAATCAATTTCTCTCTGTCTGTCTCTGTCTCTCTCTCTCACACACACACAGAGAGTCTTACCACTGATCAAGAATAAGCTCAAGCCAGCCATCCACGGAACCCTAGCACCCCTAGAATTTATTCCTTCATGCAGTCAATTTCAGTTAATACCCTTGTTATTGTCTACTCCAATCAAATGATAACTACTGTACATGCCCGTCCCAACTACACTGAACTAACTCCTCAAGGCAGGAGTTGTTTCAGATTCAACCACTTCCCTAGTGGGGATTTCAGCTTTGTTGAGCGGAAGGGAATTCACGCCCAAAGTCTTCCCAGCCCGGAGCAGCCACAGCCCGAATCACACGCAGTTTCCCTCGTGCATGTGCTGTCCGTGGGCTTTGCAGGGTGGCACCATGCGGCTTTTGCAGACCTTTATGCTAGTAGCGACATTTTATATCTTGGTATTTGGCACTGAAACGGCCCTCAAAGGACATGAGCATCTGCCCCAGGTTCCTGGTGCTACTGACAGAATAGCAAATTTCTCACCCTGGCTCATCTGTTACTTTGCAACTTCAGCTTGGAAGCTTAGCTAGTTTCTAGAGGGAAAAACGAAGCAGCACCTACCATGAAGGTGCTCAAGATCCCACTCAAGATCAGTCTCTCTCTCCTGTTGCTCACAGTCAAGCAAATGGGTGAAGGCAAAACTCCCATGTGTTACACCCAAGTAGGACGTGCTTTCTGCAGGAGCCTTCTCCCCTGACATGACCACGATGCTCGAACCCTCAGCTCCGTCCACAGTGATTTGTGATGCAAACTCCCGCTTTGCCTTCGTCTATTTTATTGGGAGTTTTTCTGCGACGAGGGCTCTAGCGCTACAAGGCTCCTTAAAGCAAATCTAAGCAAGATATGGCCGCTGCTCTCTAAATGTACGACCGGCACTTCAGGAAACATGATGGCAAACGAGGCATCTCCAGGCCAACAGAGGACATGGCCCCTTTCCAAAACCCCGGAAGGTGAACTCGGAAAGCGCCACATGTGAAAGGACAAGGGATCCCCCCCCCCATGGGTAACCCCTTTCCTACACACACCTCGCCCCCCCCCCCTTGTTCTCCTCTCATTCAGAACTCGCGGTCTGATCGCTGCCTTCCTGCTCTGTCTTGACCCCTGCGTGTCCAGCGCAAGTACTTCGTGGCGTGTACACAGCCAGGCCCGACATCAGAATGTCACCACCCCGATGCTGGCCCTGGTGGCTGCCTCAGGGCCCTGCTTATCCAGGGCCAGCAGGACAGGTGTGGAGCCTGGCATTTCGAAGACGCTCATGCTTCTGAGAGGACAGATGGACCAGGCTAAGCAATGAAACCAGCTGAATCTGGCAACCTGCACTGAGGAACTCAGTGAGACGCAAGAGAGGGCAAGAGTGTTTGAGAGTGTAAATAAGGAACACAAATCACTCCTTAGGCTCACAACAGAGAATAACTAATGGAACTGTCATGTAGAAAGTGATTTCTTTCTGCCAGTTAATGCAGTAATTAGAGAATTACCGAGCCAATGGCCTTGTGGTGTGGGCTCAACCTACTGTGAAGGGCAGGGCTGGCATCTCGGGGCACAAAATCCACGCTTCCTCCAAGCTGCCCTATCATATCTCTGCTTTGTATCCTCCCCGCCAGGACTGTCTAATATGTCATTTGCACGGACATATTTTCTACTCATTACATATCATAAATTCCAAATAGAATTTACGTTTTGTCTCCCACACGATTCAGAGCAGACAATAAATGCTTGAGGAGCTGATTCACCTGTTCTGTTACCTTCTGGATAGGCACTGCCAATTGTCAGCATTTTGCCAGCCTAAGATGCTATGTGACATAGAACACACTTTTCCTGGACATTTCTAATAAAGCAAATGACAAATACCATAATATAAGAAAATGATTTTATTCCTAATTTTTAGTTCCCATACAGTTTACAAATACACTTTTACTCTGATAATAAAGCTTTGCGACTAGCAAAGCGGTTGAACTAACACCCATAAATACAGGTGGGGAGACAATTAACATCCATTAATGCTTCTCTACATAAACTATTCTCTTAATGTCATTTTTAAAAAACAACTGCAAATAGACTACATAATACATGTGGGCAAAAAAGGCAATTAAAAGAATCTCTTGAGACACTAAATGTATAATAAACAGTGCATATTATCAACATTTACACGATTCACATCAAAACGATGACATCCTAGAACGTATTCCTTTTAAAGGATAGATTTATCAATAAAATATTACATATCTTTTAATACTCTGGTACAATACTTCATATACTGCAGGAAAATTAAATGTAGGTCTAGTCATCCGCTTAATAAAGGATCCTTTTCCATTAGCTTTTATTAATAAAAGAATCACAATTAGGTCATAAATAAACAGGCAAATTATTAATTACATGATTTGAGGTTTAGGATGACAACTTGTAAAAATTAGTTTGATCTACAGCAAAGTTATACAACACACTAAAACCAACTGTTTAATATTTTTGCCTTGTATGAACTGCCCGTAGTGAAAAAGGAACCAGGATACAATACAGAAGCTATGTTTTGGAACTTACTTTTCAAGAGGAAGAGGGGAAAAGATTTCAACAACATGAAGGGGCTAATACAGATCCTAATAAAGGCATTGTGAAGTCAGGGAGGCCATGTGCTTACGTATATAAAACTTTATTCCCCCAACAACATACAGAAATCAGAACCTGTACTGGGTTTGTACTTAGGTCTACAGTCTAAGTTTCCCTTATGGATTAAAAACCTACAACAAAACACGGCACAATTGCTTACCTTTTCCACACTACCCTGAACTAGAAATGACCCAGCACTTTCTAATATTTCTTAAAATCCCCAGCAAGAAAACCCCTAAAAAATAATCGCAACGAATTCTTGGCTGTTCCAAAGCAACCGGCCCCATGGAGAATGCACAGATGCCAGGAAAGTCTTAAAGGTCTTTCCCCCCATTATTTGTTATCTTTGAAAAGTCATCAATTTCAGCGGGAGCGATGGCCCTAATTTTCAGAAGGACCATAAACTGGTTAAGAGGTGCCCTGTCATTTCATTTACTTATTTTATTTTTTTAAATTATGAGGACCCTGAAATTTGACTTTATACAAAAATCCCAATGCCACATACCAGGTAATTTCTCCACCCCAAATACAAAATCCTATGGTTATAATTTCAAAATAGTCACCAGTTATGGGAATTGTGCAAATTCCATGTCTACCAGCAAGCCCAGAAGCAGGCGTGTGTGTGTCTCTCACACCTACCGTCCAGGAAACCTGACTCAACTATCACTGACTGCTCTGGCCCTGGACCCTTTGACTTCCTCAGAAACCACCTTTTTAGAACTTTCATTTCCACTGTGCTTTGCAACACACACCTCAAGCTCACCCCATATTCACTGTCCCTCAGCCTGTTCCATCAGTATAAAGTAATCTCATCTGAGAACCTGCAATCACCTTTTAGCAAATACACAACAAACCTCAGCAACCTAAGGACTGTTAGGACCTGGTCTTGGCGTTAAGTTCACATAACACGACCATCTGCAGACTCTGTGGAGGGAAATCTAAATGGAGTCAATGTGCTTTGACAAGCAAGCAAGCCAAGAGCCGCGCATCGTAAGCTACAGGCAGAGACATGAGTGCGGCAGGTACATTTGGACAATCAAACCCTTGGATGCTGGTGCAAGACTTTGCCCCCAAAGTCCAGAGTCAAAACGTTATTACAAAATCAAGGCGATCAGACCCATACAATGTGACAATGCAATAAAAAGGGCAGATTCGAGATTCTCCCTGCAAACACTGAACTGGAGCCTCTTCACAGGCTTGACAAGAAGACAGTAGTCACTTACATTCCTTTTCTAAGATAAAACCTTCAGCCACACCTTTATGCAAAGCAATTCTGAGTTCCATGGATATGAGGGGTGGGGGAGGAAGGGGAGGGATCGATGTACATTTGGTCTGCGAAGGGCACCGCTCTCCCCAAACTACCTGAGGGTTTCAAGGCAGGTAAAGACCTCAGGAAACTACTACCAGGCCCAAATCTAACCCACTAGAAGTCAAAGCAAGAAGAATCTGGGGAAGAAGAACATCACTTACCAGCAGAGCTGCCTTGCATTTCATTATCTTGACAAAGTCAACCAACGTCACCTTCATTGAAATACACCCAATGAATGATGATCCCACACAGGGCAAAGAAGGATGTCTTTGGAGAAGGCACTTAAGGTAGAACATTAGCAAATCTCACCGCTTGGTTAACACAAAAACGAGCTACTGCCAACCCGATCCGACCAGCGCCTCCACGGACTTGCTCCCTGCGGCCCGACCGCACCCCGCACGGGGTCTGCTGGACGAGCGGCAGGACGGACGCTCCAGGAGCCGCAGTGCCAGGCGTCTCTGCTTCTAAGTGCTTCGCCACACACACCCATCCTCCGGGGCCCGTTTTCCCAAGTGACGCCTCAGAAATAAGCTCAGAGCCGGCAGCCCTGGCTCGGCGCTTCGGGGGTCAGACGCTTCCGGGTCGGCACTTCTGGGGGCCTCTTTCTCGGTCTGACTTGGAGCTCCCCGCGGCCACAGGCAATCCTAGCTGCCCCCGTGACCGGCAGCTTATACCTCTGCCAACTGCAGCTGTTTTCCCATGACGCTGGTGCTGACAGCTTGGCACACTGGGGTCCCCCCAAAACCCCACCTCCACTTCATGTCCCCCTGCCCCCGCTTCCCCAGTCTGGGCCGAGCTGTGACCTGCTTCACTTAACAGAGAGCAGGAGAGGTGAGGCTGCCGCCGTACGGGCTTCAGTCTTAGCAGTCCTGGCGCCTACTGTTTTTGCAGTAGGGAGCTCTGGGTGCCGCGCCGAGGAGCCCAGCTATCCCGGGACAGCATGCAGAGGGAGGTCCAGTCCGGGTGGCCAATCCGTGGGTGACACCAGCAAAGCAGATGGAAGAAGAGCTCAGGAGGGCCCAGTCCAGACTGAAGACCAGTGAGGACAAAAAGAAAGCGCTGTCGCTCGGAGCCACTAAGTTATGGAGCGGTCTGTCAGCAACAACTGGTCACCAAGACACTGGTTATCCACAGGGGCGTTTTTCCCTAAAGACAATGACTCAAATGAAAAGAAAACACGGCGAAGGCTTTCTCACCACCCTCAGTCAATAGGGCACTTGGTCGTCTGAGAAGAAAACACACCTTTTATCCTAATTCCTGTGTCCATTGTTTTTCCCATGATATTCTAATGGCAATGCAAAGGCAGACAGTCAACTTCTGACAGCCCAGGGAGCTGGCTTATCACTTAGCCAAGAAAAAAAGGAGAGACAACAGCAAAATGAATTATCCATGACTAGGTAGGTGATAAGAGAAACTATTCTCATTTCTATAGGATGCCGTTACTTAATTTCCCAAATCATTTTTCCATCTTACAGGTGCTCTATCATCCCCCGCGAGAAAAAAATTAAATTTGTTAACGTCATAAAAAGAAAAAAATACCAATAGTAGAATATAGAGCACAGTTTAACTTCTTCAACGTAAAATGAAGCTCTTTAAATTGTAACATTGACTACATTGCAGAGAGGATTTCTTCTAATCTGAGGAAGTAAGTAACTGGAAACCAGGTATTGTTGAGTTAGAGAACAGTGGGTCTTGAATGGTTTGAAATGTCGCTAATCAAAAGGTAGTCAACCACCACGCAAGCTTTGCAAATTTGTTCTTCACATAAACTTTCTTGCATTTGCTCTTGATCTTTTTAAGGAGAAGGTGAAAGTTCACATCTGGGGAAGAAATAAGTTAGAGTCTGTAAGGAGCGCACTCACAAGGGTTTAGGAAGGCATGACGTTACCTGAAAGCAGGTTTAAAGCAGGCCTCCCTAGGGGCCTCGGGGTTACGTTTCAGCACTATCACTGTGACGGCCTGGCCCGGAAGTGGCGCGGCAGACCTCTCCTGTATCCCCCGCTGTTCCCTCAGCAGTGTATTTCAGTAGATCTGCCTGTTCTGCTCCCCACTCTGGTGAATCCGCTCACCCCCCCCCCCCACCTCTGGCCTACAACCCAGTTCTTCTATACAAAAAGAAAAAGGGCAGGTTTAAAGCTTTTAAATATGCTACCCACTGAACTGGCGATTTCTTGAAAACACACATCACACACTTGGATCATTTTCTAAAAAGGTGATGGGCAGGGAGGAAACACAAGCAGCACAGCTGGACGGGAGCAGACGGGTCACAGATGCCCGGGCTGTGTGGCAGAGACCCCAGCCACTGCTGTGTCCATGCCTCCCCCCCCGGTCCCTACAGACCTCCGAGCCCAGCTCAGGGACACCCCTTCTCATAAAAGCAGCAGGAAAGTGCTACTGTGCTGTGTTAGTATCAGCCATGTCCCTAAAAGAAGCGCTGACTTTGCCCCTCACAGAATTCATTCTGCATTTGGTTTTCATGCTTAATGAACTCTTAAAAACAAGTTCAACTTGGAGTCGAGGGAGAGGAAAAGGGAGGCTGGTTTGTAAAACTCAATTATGGTGCACTTAGCTGAAACACTCACATTATTTGCTTGCTTAAAAATGCCACTAATGACATAACCAATCAACAGATACAATGTCAGTACCAATTTCTGTGCTGAAGTCCTGGAGTCCTTCTCATCTGAAGCTCTTCTGCTGCTGCATCAGGCCCACGTTTTCATAGACTCTGGCATTGTCTTCTCTCATTCTGGGAAAAAAAAAAGAGATGTCAACAGACATGCAGGCCTTGCTGCTACAGGGGACCCGCTGGAGTCTAGATGGAGACTGCCCAGGACCCAGCACCCTTGGGATGAGACAGAATCACAGACCCACAGCGCTATAAATGTGAAATTAAACATGAGGCAGGAGCTTTCCGTCCCTCTGGGGTTTGTAGGAATCTGAGTTTTGTCGAGGCAGGCACAGCAAGGAGCATCTGGATCCAACCTTAACATGGTGGGATGTGCAAAGACAGAAGAGGCCCCAAGCAGAGAGATGGGAACTGGCAAGAGCCCAAGAGCAGTCAGGCAGGACTGGACATCTGTGGCCAGAATCGGGCGAGCCTGACCAGGAAGCGAGGGCTGTGTGAGGCCTCGGCTGGAGGCCAGGGCAGTGGAGTCCAGATCCCACTGGCCGGGAGGATGAGGAAGCCCAACAAAACCTGAAAGGGGCTCAGGGCCGAGGTCTCCTAGGTCTTCACCCCATGAGGGGCATGACAGGAAGAGAAAGCACAGAAGCTTGCGGTCGCGGGCTGACTTCTGGTAATCAGGCGGCATCAGGTTAGGGAAGCTTTCAGCCCCGACCTGCTGATCGTACTGCCTGTGACTGCAGAGAGCAACTTGCAATACCAGCTCTCCCAAAGGGCAGGCAGCAGGACAGGCGACATGGCGAGAAGCCTGCTGCATAGAATGGCCACGCGACTTTGTTTCAATGTTCACCAGAAAGCAAACGTTAATAGGAGCCTCCCGGGCGCCATCTTTGAAAATGCTGATATAGAGAAATAAAATCAGCAGGGGCTTCAAAATCCACATCAGAAGCAAATAGAGATGAAGATTCTTGAGGGAAAATAAAGAGCAAAAGTCAGAGCAGCGAGTGACTTCAGAAAACAATAATTCACAATTGTGATTCACTATCGATGTGACAAGTGTTTCTTCACCTTGTTTTCATTTAAACAAGAAGCCGGCAAAAGTTTTCAGCAAAGGACTGGAAGATAAACGTTTAGCCTCAGCAGCCCACTCAGCAGCCCACTGCATAGCCTCTGTCATGTACCAGCCTCTGAGTTTCTGGCAGAACCACTCAGGAGTTGTGCTCTAAAAATAGGCCAGGCCCCCCCGGGGGGGGGGGGCCTGCATCATGCTGACCCTGGTTTAAATGTCCCCAAAGTGGCTTTTGTTTTCCCCCTCAAAAAAAATAAAAAAATTTCCACAGGGTAACGTTAGTCTACAGTCCTGCGTATGAGCTGGGGACCAGATGTATGCTGAAGCAGGCTCCTACGGCCTATGAGAGAAGCAGATCAAGACTATGTTTACGCATTAATCACACATTTATTTACTTTTTCTGAGTAAACATATCCGTCTTAACACAGCAAAAGGAGAGTCACTTGCCACCTATCAAGAGAAAAACAGAAGTCTTCTTAGGGAACCACCACTGAGACACCCATATCATCCTGGTTAGCAGATTTCCAAGTGCTTTCTACTTAGGAAAATCAAAGGCAGCTTAAATCCCCAACAGTTAATGTGCACAGGTGAAAGGAGCCACAAAAACATATTGACGTGATCTTTTTAAAATTCTCTACAGGATGATGTCAGGTAAGCAGAATGTCTCTTCTTGCTACTTACTCTGCACAGGGTGGTGTCGGGGTACAAGGCGGAAGGGGACTCTGATCTCCGCTTGCCTGGTCTGTTAGGGAATACTTGATATTGGTATATTCGTGCCCTTTCCTCTTGCTTTTCTGAAAGGTAAACATTGCATACATGAGGAACTACACCCCTTCTCATAAAAGCAGCAGGAAAGTGCTACTGTGCTGTGTTAATATCAGCCATGTCCCTAAAAGAAGCGCTGACTTTGCCCCTCACAGA